AGTATTAATGGGCAAAGAAACTTTTATAATGAAGAAAATAAAAGGATTTCTTTCTTCTTTTTAAATCTTAACAGTAAACTGTATTAAAAGTGCATAAACGATGAGATTTTTGTAATATAATACAGGTTTTATGATGTCTATCCCATCACGTACATACTGAATACATGTTTTGTAAAACATGTCTTTTCCCATGTACTAGCAAAGAGTAACTGTAAGACAATACAATACAATACAAACCAAAACCCAATTAAACTAGAGGTACTGTGAGCGATGAGCTCACTAAATGATACCCCCCGCCTCCCATATGGTTTTAACTGGTGAAAAAGTCCATGTTTTCCTGTGGCCGGGAAACCCAAAATATGTGTCGAATCAAAAAGTAAAATAGGAGGTGCACAATGGCAATATGTAATAAAGATTCTGTGAAAGTTTCATCAAATTTCATTCAGTGGTATGAGAGGAGTTGCGGATAAGAGATGGGTACCCCAAAGCGTAACAGACGGACGGAAACCCAATACCCTCCCGCTTTTCAAAAAACACACACACAACAAAGGTCATTACAGGTTAACTTCAAAGGACATGAAAGCTGAGAGCATGAAAAGGTCTTATTAATTATGAAATGTTTTTTAGGAATTAATAAAATGTACAAGATGGAGAAAAAGAAATGCAATACATTGTAATGCGCAAAATGTAAAATGATTGATGTGTATATTATGTACAATATGAATCCTTGCATTTCACACTTTCGCAGATAAATATGCAGGGCCATCTCGCTCAGCTTTGGTTTGGTTGTTCTGGACATGCATTTGTTTGTTTTGCACATGTCGAATGAAGCAATGGTAGTTTTGAGATTTATCTGTATACATGTACATGTATATGTATATCATGTTTATCAAGTAACAAAGTTTTTGTTGTTGTTCAATGAAATAATAAAATGTCACATTGTTATAACATGTGTTGGATTTGAATGCAAATACAATAAAGTAAAGAACAACATAAGGGGGAACTGTGAATTCAAAATCTATTATTGAAGGAGGCAATTTGCCCCTTGCACTGCATCTATGTTAAGCACATGACAAGAAGGATAACTCTTGCTACCTTGCCAAAGTAAAATTGACCAGAAGAGTTGTATGCACACTACTTGGACTCTTGTTTTTTTTTTTTTCCTCTCTCTCTCTCTACTTTCATCAACAAGTGTTTAAGGAAGTCATAACAATATACGTTGTTTAGTTAGCTGTATATACATGATGTGTCTCTGGAAATTATCAACTGGATCTTGAAAAATTCTTATTCTTTACTTTTCTCCCTCCCCGGCCCCTGTACCAAGATCGGAAAATGTAACATTAGAAACGAATGAAAATCAATTATATTTATGAAGATAATGACAAGAATGATTGGTTTTCCCTACCCTGTGATAAAAAGTTACTGCAGGGCTAGCTAGCCGACTATAATATGCCTATATTCCAGTGACATGTACATATTGTTTGTTGACAAACAATAAATGTAGTACATTCTGTACAATTGAATACTAACACACTCGTTTCTGTTTTACGTCTGTTTAAAGGCATCTTTTCTAAAAATTTGGGTGGCCGTGAAAACGGCCGTTTGTTGTTGCTTCTTTCAGCAAATGCTTGTAGGGGTATCTAACCACCGAATCCGTAGAGGGTACGTCCTTGTCTCTTCAGGGCATAGACAACGTCCATGGCTGTGACTGTCTTCCTCTTGGCATGCTCTGTGTAGGTGACAGCATCACGAATGACGTTCTCAAGGAAAACTTTCAGGACACCACGGGTTTCCTCGTAGATGAGCCCAGAGATACGTTTGACTCCACCTCTGCGTGCAAGACGACGGATGGCGGGTTTGGTAATACCCTGGATGTTATCTCTCAGGACCTTCCTGTGACGCTTAGCGCCCCCCTTTCCAAGACCTTTTCCTCCTTTACCACGTCCAGACATAGTTCAGCTATCGGTATATGATCTTCTGAAATGCTGAGTTTTGACGAGATCGCGGTATATATAGCAGTCACTACACGACGCGCTAGAAACAATAACGTCTTGAAAACTTTGGCACGTCCCGAATGCAAATTTGAAAGCCACAACGCGATTGGTTTACGCTATGCGCGCCTTACATATGTTTTTGTTTACATTTGTAATACCCTTGAGGTGCTACTAGACCATGCAAAATATTTTTAGCCATCTTAATATTTCAGCCACTGTCTAGAATATACTTCTACATTTCGATTAATTTATGTATTATCAATAATGTTCTTTTTCTTTGTTTGTTCAGTATCATTCTTATTAATAGTCAGGGATCATGTATCATGATATGAGATATAGATGAAATATTTAATTAATATTCTCCACGAACGTGTAAAATATACGTTTTTCTTTCTATCTTCCTATTTTAAAAAAATGTGATATCATTAAATAAAAGTATAATGTATATATAGGAAACACAATATTGTTGACATGAAGTTTCATAAACTAGCTGTCATAATATGTAACTCAAATATTTCTTACAAAAAGATTCATGTTTTATTTCCTTAGCATTCTCTCTCTCTATATCTTAGTAATCTAGATGTAATCATGTTTATAGATGATTGACTCATAAGTACAATAAATATGTGACTGTGTGATGATATATTGACATTAAAGACAGTATACATACACAAAACATGTTTCATTCATGTTCTCTGATCTTATTGAATCTGGATACACGTGTGTTTATATAATTTACACAGCGTGTGAGTGTGTGTATGGTTCATTTTGTGTGTGGCACTCATTTGTTCATACATAATAATAAAACGACTGTTTTAGAGTTTTATATATATCTGTGCATTTCCCGACTTGCAATAAATATAATGTTGATTGAATATTTCCTTAGTAATCCCTTGATGTTGTTCATAGGTTTCTAGCCGAAACCTGAAGTAGATTTACCCTGTGTTTTATATTGTTACGTACGTTTCTCAACTTTGCATGAAGGCATCTTTTCTAAAGATATTGGTGGCCGTGAAAACGGCCGTTTGTGTTTTGTCTGAGACAAGAAAAGGCTTAGGCTCTCTCGCCACGGATACGTCTGGCAAGCTGGATGTCCTTTGGCATGATGGTCACTCTCTTGGCGTGGATAGCACACAAGTTGGTATCCTCAAAGAGCCCGACGAGGTAGGCCTCACTGGCTTCCTGGAGGGCCATGACGGCTGAGCTCTGGAAACGCAGATCGGTCTTGAAATCTTGAGCGATTTCACGGACAAGGCGCTGGAATGGGAGTTTCCTGATGAGCAATTCGGTGCTCTTCTGGTATCTCCTGATCTCACGGAGAGCGACAGTTCCTGGCCTGTACCTGTGAGGTTTCTTAACGCCACCTGTGGCTGGTGCGCTCTTACGGGCTGCCTTGGTAGCCAGCTGTTTTCGTGGGGCCTTGCCTCCTGTAGATTTTCTTGCAGTCTGCTTGGTACGTGCCATCTTCTCTGAGTTCAGATAAAATGAATGACGAGTGCAGAGTGTAGTAAAGTTTTATACGGTTCCGTGGCTCGTGAATTTTTGATCAAAGTTCGAAATCAGCGCGCACGAAGTAAGGGTGTTTGTGATTGGTTGGGGATTTAGAAAGACACCTTGTGATTAGTGGCTTATAGCGCGCTTCGATTGGTCTTAGCTAGAATCATTTCAATCCACCTTTTTGCACAGATTTTGTACTTGATTAAAATCAATGTTTTGTTGTTGTAACATGTAATAAAATATAATTTTAACAGACCCATTGGTGGAAGAGATGGACAGTCACAATAATTAGGATAATAATCGTGATGATAGATCCATGGATTCACTGAAAATTTTAAATCAATTATTATTTTCTATTTTTGTTCATTTTTATAACATATATTGTAATTTATTTCTTTCCTTATATATTGACACTGGATTTCATTTCAGGCCCCACAGAGGATATAATGAAGTTTTACCATCCCCATTGATGTACATATTAACCATGCAAATACAAAAATATTAAGCTAAATTAATTTTATTTTATTTTTTTTCTTTACATGGTCATGCATTAAGAGTCTGATGGATCATTATTGTCTAGCTTTCTTGAATCTTGATATATATATTTTTTTTCTCACATCTGCTTTGTGTAATGTTTGTAGCAGTTATCATCTTTAGCTTAAGACAGTTTAATATAAGAACATTTTATCAAACTTTAAAGTCTTATCAATTTAATACTTGTGGCATGAAAGATCTAAACCTAAATGATATTTGAAGTGTTTCATAAATATAGCATATACATAACTAGATAACAATAACATATAAAAATTGCCACAAACAAATAACATTAGTTTATAGACATTGGTCAACAGGTTTTACACAGGTGCTGAATTGCATAATTTTACAAATATATGACTGTATTTAAAAAAAAGAAAGAAAAAAAGGGAACTATACAGGAGTATTTGGACCATGTAAATATTCAGTGATGTGAAGGTGTTTCGCTTTCAAGCATCTTTTAATCAGGAACAAGCTACAGGACATTTGCATGAAAATTCAATGTCATAGAAATTAAATTCAGTGTTCAAATTCAAATTAAATCTCATACCAAGTGTGGGGCATAAAACCAAGTCAGACTTGTATACTGCATGATAGTTGAATTCTGAATGGAATTTCACAACCAGTGTAATGGGGGTAGGGGTTCTGTGAATGCAAGGGGGGGGGGGGGGGGGGGGGGGGGGAAGAAATTTACTTATAGTATATGGCCAAAAGTGAGCAGAAGAAAATAAAAAATACTTGTTGTGAGGTGAATTTTACCTCAATTTCCATGAATCCCCCCCTCCCCCCCAATGAATCAAGCAAAATTGTTCAAATATTTTTGTCTCAAAATGCAAAACAAAATGATACACGAGTCATAGAGAATAAATCAAAAAATTAGTAAGAAAACCTTGTAACCTCAAAGTCTATGATTTCATAACGACATTAGAGTCTTAGATTTTTCTCTATTTTGCACTTGAGCTGAGATATATTATCTCAATGCTTATCAAAAATATTAAGGAATAACACCCCCCCCCCCCCACTCAAAAAAAAAATACAAAAAAAACAACCAACAAACAAAAATGAAATTGGAAATGTTCCCTTCTGTCGTCATTTAATTTTATCGACTGCTATTATCTAAGTGTTTCTGGATATTAATATGATTTATCCCATAATCCCAGGTTTATCATGGGTTACCGGGTTATTGATGGCATTTATCAGATGAAATTTATTTTGTAATTTATTAACACCATTTATTAAAACTACGATGAAAGATATCCACACACGTTTCGTTAACGACTGTTAATGAGGCATCTTTTCTAAAAATGTGGGTAGCCCTGAAAAGGGCTTTTTAGTATTTTTATTTTAGGTAGACAGTCTGCCTGGAATGCGAAAACTGCTTATTTCTTGGCGGCTGCTTTCTTGGGAGTCTTGGTTTTCTTGGCTGCTGCCTTTTTGGGGGTCTTGGCCTTCTTGGGCTTGGCTGCTGCCTTCTTTGGTGACTTGGCGGCTGCCTTTTTCTTGGGGGACTTGGCTTTCTTGGGTCCGGCTGGTTTCTTGGCTGCTGTGGCCTTCTTCTTTGGAGTCTTGGCCTTCTTCTCTCCGGCTGGCTTCTTGGGCTTGGCGGCAGCCTTCTTGGGCTTGGCTGCCTTGGGTTTGGCAACTTTTTTGGCTTTAGGCTTCTTTTCGGTCTTGGGTTTGTCTCCGAGTTTGAAGGAGCCACTAGCACCTGTGCCCTTGGCTTGCTTCAGAGCACCTTTTTTAACACCATTCTTCAGGGCCATTTTCAGGTGGGCGTTGATAGAGTTAACATCGTTGCCCACTTTGTAGTTGGCCATGATGTACTTGAGAATGGCCTGTCGGGATGAGCCACCACGTTCTTTCAGAGATGCAACGGCAGCGCTGATCATGTCGATGTACTTGGGGTGTGCAGCAGGCACCTTAGGCTTTGCGGTCTTCTTCTTGGCTGGGGACTTTGCTGGTGCGGCGGTATCGGCCATGGCTACTTTCGAGTGTAAAACGTCGACTAGCTTCTCGGGAACTGCAAACAGTGAAATACTTGGGTCACACGCACTTGCTGTTTTTGTTTACACTGAGCGCGGACCGCCTAGAAAACATCCAGTGTTTCGAGACGTTTGTGTTTTGTTCCTGCATGTGTGTTTCAATGTGGGTACTTGCATCCTTGCTGCAGCTCAACGGAGGAACTTTTCCCCAATATATCAAGAGAATCTCCAACTCTATAGTTCTGTCTCGCGTTCTATCTATTTACATCTTTAGATTGTTCTTACTGCAGTGTTCAAATTCAAGAAAAAAGGCCCACAAACTCGCAAGATTTAATTTCAGGTTACGATTTAAGATAAATTGTTCACATGAAAGGACAAAATTCAGTAACGATGTCTTACTTTTTCTTTAAAGACACATTTAGGAATGCTAATTTGACCTTCCCGTCCTGTAAAACATAATCAGTTTCCCCTAAAACTGCGAGAAATCCTCAAAGACTGTGTACTGTAGTGCACAATGTCATGCCTGTATCAAAACGGTGCTGTGTGACTATGACAATGACTCTGTTCCCTAAAATATACAAATAAGATATACATGACTGAATTGTAGAAAGGGGGGCAGGAAAATCATATTCAAAATGTATTATTATGATACACGAATTATAATCATACACATTAAGCAGTATGAAATATATACATATATAATGTCAGGGTCTTCTAAAAATTTATTTGAGAAATAACAGATTTAAGCTAGTTTGGCTCTATCTTTGTATTAATGTTTTATCATAATGATTATTATCATTATTCATTATTTTTTGTTTATGAGACACAAGATATTAAGATAATAGATATTTTTCTGGTTCAAGTTTGACTTGAACATAAGACTTATAAACACTTAATTTACAGTTTTAAATATTTTGGTCGATAAGCTTTCCTCTTTTTTAATTTATATACGTCACTTTTAACTCGCGCTAAAATAAATAAATAAATAATAAAAGAAAAAATAAGATGAGCCAGATTCATCTGAACTAGTTTACTTTCAACCTAATAACCTATGTGGCAAAGAAATGCTGCGAGTGATATACATTATCGTTTTTACCCAGTTTTCCATTGTTTGAGAGAGAGAGAGAGAGAGAGAGAGAGAGAGAGAGAGAGAGAGAGAGAGAGAGAAATAATGTAATGTTGCCCCAGAAGTGTTTGTGAACTGTTGCAAATACTCGGCAATTTTTGTGCATTATTGAAACCAATATTACCATCATTTGAGAAAATTCGTTCAGCTGTCAATAAATCCATAGGTATATAGATTATGTCCTTTACATCTGGAAAAATTGGAAAAGTATATACTCATGTAAAACTCCTAACTATCAACAACCAGTAAAATAATGTCTTCAGCATAATACCAGAGCAAAATGCTTATTAATAAATTATATAAACCTAATGTTTATCCATGTGTGTAACAAAATAGTGTTACAGTAAATATGTGTATAGTCGGGAATTTCGTGTATTTCCTGAATTTTAGGAAATACATGAAATTCCTATTCTGCTTAGAAAATACGTGAATTTATATTACTAATTTCAGGAAGGAAATACACGTATTTACTGAGTTTTTCAATACTTTTTACATGTATTTACTGACTTTGTTTTGGTGAGATAATCTAAAATATGAACAGATGCACAGTATATTCAATATTTGTATTGGTAAGCATATCATGTGAGTAAATAATATTTTGAATAAACCTTTATTCATTTAAAAAAAAAAAAAAAAAAAAGAAATTGAAAAAAAATCATTACTTGTGAATATTAGCAAAAATAAACATGATGACATACGCCTTTCATTTTTCTAATAAATAATAATAATAAATTAGTAAAGACTGGTTCATATACATCATTCTGATGTCGAAAACTCCCAAATAAATACTTCCTTATGAATAGATTTGAATTGTGAATATGAAGGAATCCGTTTTACAAAGAAAATACCTGAATGAAGAAACACGAGTAGGGGTTATTGTCCTAAGAAATATGTATATATACATATTTTTAAATTAATTGATGAAATGAAAAAATTGTATTTTACTTATAGAATACATTTCCTTAGGAAAATCATAAGAGTTAAAGCAACATTTAATATGAGTAAGCACAGGGTTTATGAACCTTAAATGGGATTTTAAAAATACAATGCACCGACTGTCCGAATCTTGCCCAGAATTGGAAATTTACGGATAACCTAAGCTTTATAGAAACAATTCTTATTATTTGCGACTTCAAAAGCATTCATACTAGTATTTGTTTACTTACGAAATGTTTTAAAGCATAATATGTATAGTCATCCAGCTTAGTTCGGTAAAAACGTGTAAAACTGGCTAAAATTCTCAGTAAATACATGAATTTCCTAGCTATTCAGCAATTACACGTATTTCCTGAAACAAATACATGTATTTATTGGATGGTTTAGGAAATACATGAAATTCCTGATTTCACATATTTACTGTAACATATATATTATATACAGTAAATAGCCATTTAAGTGAATCCTGATTTCATTATTCCTCGCTATTTATTTCTTTTCTTCTTTAATACTATACATATATATGTACAATACATATTTTATACATTTTAATATTTTTGCCATTCAACGTGACACACACAAGGGTCCCGGTGTTTCAACTATTCAAAAATTGGCATTGAATGTATTATAACACAGGTCACTCTAAGAAATCATTCACCTAGAGACTTAGATGACATGCTAGGGACAAAACATGCTATGATATATCTATTAACTTAAAACAGATTTTACTCAAAACAGTTCAGGTTTTTCTGATGCACGAGTGATAAAATTATCACAGTTACAGAAAATAGTGGTGAAATCATTAAACAAAATTCTATGAAATAAAAATTTTTTTGCGGTAAACTCTATAGCAACAGTACCTGGCCATAAGTGAGTCCTAATTTTATTTTTTCCACTAGATATATATATATTTCATTGAAAAATGCATTTTTCTAAAAATATTATCTCAGTGTTATCTGTCGCTCATAGTGGGAAATAAAGATTTGTTAAGAAATCGTAGTAATTGGAGGTTAGGGATTTTTGTCTTGACAATTTCATAATTTATTCTCAATGATTTGTGTGTATCTTTTTGAGACAAGAAAATTTGATCAATTCTGCATGATTCCCGGAAAAAAATCATGAAAAGTTGATTAAGAAAAATATAATTGACCACACAACAAGTTGTATATAAAAAATGGGTTTTCAATGAAATATTTAGTGTAAAAATGCAATTATGACTCACTTTATAATGGCCATAAACTGTATACGTGAATTTTCTTCGGATTGAGGAGAAATGCATGTCATGTATATAGTGCTCTACGTTATAGCCTGCATGTAGTTTTTTCATTCATTGAAAAGTCAACACATTTCGTTTCTTAAATTACGCTCCTATATAGAGGCATCTTTTCGAAAGATTTGGGTGGCCGTGAAAACGGCCGTTTGGTTTATTTGAAAGTCGCACAGACTTTTTACTTGCTGGCGGACTTCTGGGTCTTCTTGGGGAGGAGCACGGCCTGGATGTTGGGCAGGACACCACCCTGGGCGATGGTCACGCCGGACAGCAGTTTGTTCAACTCCTCGTCGTTGCGGATGGCCAGCTGCAGATGACGGGGGATGATTCTGGTCTTCTTGTTGTCGCGGGCGGCGTTGCCTGCCAACTCCAAGACTTCGGCGGCCAAGTATTCAAGAACGGCGGCCAGGTACACGGGGGCACCGGCTCCCACTCTCTCGGCGTAGTTGCCTTTCCTCAGCAGACGGTGGATACGACCCACGGGGAACTGAAGTCCGGCACGGGATGATCGGCTCTTGGCCTTTCCCTTCACCTTGCCTCCTTTACCACGTCCTGACATCTTTGATCTGTTACGAGTAGAAATGAATTCAACGAATAACGCATTAACTGCCTTCGCGACCCTATTTAAACACGCGGGCGGATTGAAATGTGTAGCCAATCGGCACGATCGTATCTTACACACTCTGTCGCGCGCCGAACAACACTAGTTTTCTCGAGGGTTCGTAATGAACCTGTCCGCCGTTATCCGTCCGTGCGATATATAAGCCGCGAGGCGCGAGTCGACACTCATTAGTTTCCAGTTTGATAGCATTCTGTAAACATGCCACCCAAAGTCGGATCTAAAGGAGCTAAGAAAGCAGCCACCAAGGCCAAGGCCCAGAGAACTGGGGACAAGAAAAAGCGCAGGAAGAGGAGGGAATCCTACGCCATTTACATCTACAAGGTGCTGAAACAGGTCCACCCAGACACTGGTGTTTCCAGCAAGGCCATGAGCATCATGAATTCTTTCGTCAATGACATCTTTGAGAGAATCGCTGCCGAGGCCTCCCGTCTCGCTCACTACAACAAGCGATCAACCATCACCAGCAGAGAGATCCAGACCGCTGTCCGTCTCCTCCTGCCCGGTGAATTGGCCAAACACGCCGTCTCTGAGGGAACCAAGGCTGTCACCAAGTACACCAGCAGCAAGTAAACTGCCTACTTGTAGATCAGTAAAACAAAACGGCCCTTTTCAGGGCCACACAAATTTTTCGAAAAGATATCTGCATTACAGTCTTGAGAAACGAATGTGTGTATCTGGTGTTTGTAGGTTGTCTTCACCTTGTTCAAAGAGGGTATATTAATTTATTTTATTTGTTTCTGGAATGTTGTGTGTGCTGGTGTTCTTTTTTTTTTCTTTGCATGCATTTTATTTTTTGGACTTAGCCTAAAGTCAAGGCTTAGTCAGGTTTTTGTCAGTTTCAGCAGGGTTAGTTAGCGCACGCGTAAAATGGGGTTAGTCATGCCAGGCACAACTAACCCCCCTACTGCGCCTGCGCGGCTACTTTCTAATCGTAGATTACGATAAAAAAGTTCAAATTAACATCCCATCGTGAATAATGTTCAGTAAATACTCTCAAAAGATTCCAGAATCCTCACCAGCTTGCGTAAATTTCGTAACTCGTAACGTATTTCACACTCAAACGCCGAGGGAAGGTCGGGTCATTTCGTTCGTTGTCTCCAATTTTTCACTAACCTTGCAGTTTGCATTCGAAAAATCCCATCCTTCGCGTCAACATTGCCAAGAAAATGCTGTAGTAAATAAAAATATGTTAACAATAGGAAAACATGCTTTGAAACGCGGAGAAACACGAAGATATGTAGCCCCCTTCGATCTAAACACAGCCAGTGCAGACACAGCTCGGCGTCACTTCCGCTGTGACGTCAGATTCATTCGTATTCAATCGTAGCTACTCGGTTATTTCCGAAATCCTCTTCGGGTCTTGTTCTCCTATACGGAACAGGACGAGTTTGATCCGACCGCCCCTCCATTATGTAAAAGTAATATTGGGGTTTCATTTGTAATATACTTTGGACAGTGTTATGAATTATTTTAGAAAATGTTAATTAATAAATATACATAAAGACTTGTGACGAGATTACCTCGAAACACGTATATATTAGATTTAATCCACAATATTAACCTTCCTTTCTTTTGCAGCTTAACGTTACATCACAGGTACATATAACTCTGTCTCTCTAATTGTTCACAAAACCGACTGTTCGTTTTAATGTTGAATTTATTTTTTTTTTTCCTGGTGAAGATAGTTTATGTTCAGATGTAATAATTATTCTAAAAAAAAATATTTTGATATAGGAATAAAAATCTGGTAGTGTAGGGAGACACCCCTTTATGATAGTGGACACATATAACAGAATGTTTACGATACTACAATGTTTCAGTGCTTAAATGAAACGAAAAAGATTGAAGATCTAAGGTCCGCTTATATCATTTCACTGTCAGTTAAGAGACGCATTTTAGGATGCAAATCTTGAGTTTGGGGAGAAAAAATGACGTATTATTGCATTGTTACGTCATAGTACATGTAGAGCTCTACAAAAGGTAAAGGCGTGAGCATGTATAATACGTGCTGACCTGTTACATATGCATGCAAAACAACAGGATAATATTATTAAACCACCACTTGAAATATGGAAGGGCATATAGTAATTGGGGTGTCCGTCTATTACGCTTTTGGGTACCCACATCTTAACCTCTACTCCTCCTTTACCATAGTCCGAATTAAATAGCTGATACCCCTCCCTCCCTGCATTGCGTAAAATGTTGAGGTTTCATTTGTAACATACTTTGGACAGTGTTATCCAATTTTATGAAATGTTAATTAATAGATATACATAGACTTATGATGAGATTACCTCCAAACACGTACATATTAATTTTTATGCACAATTAAATAACGTACCTTTCTTTTGCAGCTTACATCGCAGGTATTTCTGGTGATCTAAGTGTTCATCATGTTCACTCACAATCGTTTGTTTACTAGGCATTTCGTTTTTGTTTTTTTTACATTGAGTTTTAGTTTGTCCGGGTGATGGTTGTTTTCAATTAGATGAAACACACTAATTTTTAAAACTTCTTTTTATTTATATGAGCATAGAGCTACAGTTCTGCAGCTAATATGAGGAACAATTAATTTATGGTCTATATCTTGAATTTAGAGAAGGGGGGGTTGATGTATAACTTAACAAAATTGTCGAACTATTCTTCTTTCAACGGTGACGTTCTATAAAAAAAAATATTGGGGGAGAGACTAGAAAGGATTTATTCTAAATGGTATACTTTTCAACTCCGTACCTCTGCATTTACATTATGTATAGGTCTTATACTTTATTTTAATACAGCGTGTATTGCATTCTTTTTATTATCTTAATTCTCTCTTTAAAGAATGCCCATGTTTTTATTTTATTTTGACAGTGGAGAAAGTGAATCTCAGGTGATTGCCTAAATATGAATAATCAACATGCCTGGGGAGGATCCAGCAATTCTTGAAAGGGGTTTAGGTCGATGCCCCCAGTACTCATGCATAGAATCACATCACGGCCAATTCAAGTCCGTACATTTATAAGAAGGAAGACCTCCAAGAACAGTTGACAAGCAAAAAAAAAACAAAAAAACAAAAAAAAAACAAACAAACAAAGAAATCCCCCCCCCCAAAAAAAAACTATGCAGCACACTTTTAAATCCCTTTGGCGGGGGTGGGGGTGGGTGGGTAAAGGGGGCTCTCTGTAACTTTTCTGTTTGGTACATTACTTTCAAATGTTCGAATCTGCGTATTTTCCGGCAACAAAAAATGTGGAGGGAACTTCCAAATCAAATATTGATTAAAACCACAGCAAGAGATTATTTTCAGAAAAAGTGAGCCCCCTCCATCTGCATAGTACGGAAACATTTTAAACTTTTCTCTTCATTGGTTAAAAATATTTTATGCATACTTCTAAAAGTAAGTTACTTCTGAAGATGGTCAAAAATGGTATATATATATTCTGGAATCTTCCCTGCATGTTACTTGTGGATGTTCGGAGCCCTCAGTCGGGGTTGTGAATGTACACGACGGAATTTATCGATAAAGCAAATACGCGAAAATCTACAGACCTAGCGAGCTGAAAGGACAGAGATTTTTCATATTTTCAAATTATCAGACGTATTTATGTAAATATCCATATTATAGAAAAATATGTCTCTCTCTGTATCTCTCTTTCTATGTGTGTGTACAAAAATTAAAGGGGGGTCCAACCCCGGACCCCCCCCCCCCTTTCTGCATCCGTCAATGATCAAGGCCTTCTTGTATATATACATGATGAGATTTTTTCCAATATACATGTATTCTCATTTATCGATAATTCTTTTGAAATGACCAACCCATATTGATATTTTCTAACTTTAAATATGCGAGCAAAACAGATAAGGAATAGTCGTTGACTTCTTGGGTCAGATAGGGTATAGTCGTTGACTTCATGGGTCAGGAACCCCCTAAAATTTGCAGAGTTTTAAAATGAATATACTAAACCAAGTGTCGTTGAATTCCAGAGCTTCATATAGCTATAAAATATAAATCTTTATTCCAACTTAACACAAATCGATGTTTTCTATTTAAAAAAAAAAAGGGGGGGGCAAGGTCACTTTTACTTGATTTAGTCTATACATTCCATAAATTCAAATTCAAGGAGTGGATTTTGAAAACTAAACCTGGACAAAATATATACCGGTTGCACGGTTGCCTTGCGCTCTAACAAGGAATTTTCCCCTGGTGAAGGGGGTATCCAAAACTGTCCATCCTATTATAAAATAAAGTACAATAGACCTCATAATATTTGGGGGGGGATAAAAGGGGCTGACGTATAAATCTGTCAAATTGCCATAATTTCATATATCTCTTCATAAATATCTTGCAAAGCTTTAAAATTATCTGACATTACAATCTATAGGGGTTGAGTTTCCCGAGATGGCGAAAAGGGGATTCGCCTATAGAATATTTTTTTTCACACTGTAAATTAAATAATCCTCTGAATTAACAGAGAAAGGGGCGGAACCATGCACTCCCATAGATCTATATCCGCGTATATGGGTACATTTCTTCTTTGCGAGAATAAGTGAATAATCTTGTTTGTAAAATAATACGAAACACTTGCAAATTCAACCTGTACTAAATGTTTCTATATAAATTATAATTACGACACCAAATTAAATTGTGCTTTCATATATATAGTACCATTTGTTCAAGGTAAGCCACTATATAGCACCTGGCGTTACTTATTTTTCTTATTAAAAAAAAAAACGATACCTAATATATACATTATTAGGTACGGGGTTTATTATTTATAAAGGAAAAATAAGGACTGTATATTAGGTATGGATTTTAAAATATATTTTTTATATACCCGGTAAGAAAAATAAGTAACGTCAGGTACACCTGAGGTATAAACTTGTAGCTATTCTTCAGAAAGCAGCAGTAGTATGTAGTGTACATCTGGCCCTGAATGATATACTAGAAGAAAAAA